TTTCCCTAAAGTTATTCAGGTATATTTTAAGCAAAAACTAATGCAAATGCAAATCCAAGTGCTAAAACATTTGGACCAAAATGATCACTTGCAATAAAAACAACAGACTAAGCAAGAAAACAAGTTACAGTGATCACTTGCAATATAAACAAATGCAAGGTTAGCTTCTTAGACAATTTTGTTCACATGAAATAACAATATGTATCACAATATATTTCTAAGTTACTCAACTACAGCAGCACAAGGGAAAGCATACATATCTCAAAATTCGCTCGGATGAAAACACCAACTACTCAGGAATTGCACCGAAGAACCGAAAACTCAAGCTTTTCAAGAAAACGTTCACTCTCAAAAAAAAAAAACCCATATGCAAAAGGAGAAAAAACATCAGAGGGCCTCCTTGAGATTAAAAGTTCTCGATAAGGTTCTTGCATGGTCGTACTCGTTCAGGTCCACAAGCATCTTCTTTAGTCGTCTCACAAGTTTGCCAGTTTCAGTTTCCATGGCTGCAGAGAGGTGCCTTTTCTTCAGTGTCTTCCCAATCAACAGAAGGTAGTCAACCAAAGGCTGCAACTTTCGACTGCATTGAAGAGGGGAAAATGTTAATATGTCGAACAAAAACCTGATTGTATAGCGTGACGTGAGTTGGCGTGTGTAGTATATTCAGAGAGAAAACGACTGTAATCTATATATATATATATATATATATATATATAAGATGAAAAAGCCATTCCGTATTTAGTATGAATTTTTCTCTCCTATATAAGAAGATATAAATATGTTTACTATTTTATTTTTGAATCTTGATTTTCTCTTTTTTTTTTAGTTAAATATATATATTATTTAATAATTTTTTTAGTTTTTTATTTGAGTATTCACATCTTTTCTCATTTTTAAGCAAAAACTTTCAAATGATTATTTCCTACCAAGTATTGATAAATAATATATCGAATTAATCTTTGATTTGACACAATATATCATAAATAAAACAAAGATAACTATAACTTTAATATAAATAAACTAATGTTAATCTATCAATATCAACTTAAAATGAAGAATGTGGTTCCTTACAAAATAAATTATAAATATTTATTAAGTAAGAAAATAGCATAAAATAACGTAAAATAATATTTTATTACATAGATTTAAACTACATTTTGTTAATAATATAAAATCAGTTGTATACAAGAATCTGAAGAATCAATTACATTGAACTTAACAGGATAAAATAGTTGGTCGTCTATATGACAATTATTGATTAGAGATGAAAATTCATAATGTTCATAACATGCATTTTAGTTAATAATTTCCAGATTACATGATTAGAATTTTTAAATGGCAAATATAACATATGAGACTTTATTTCACTAAAATGATCAATCGATTGATACGAAGTAAATATACATTAAATAGATTTTGGCTTAAAATAACATGAATTATATTTTAGTATATTGGTTTGGAATTTTATGCTAAAGAAATAAATAAATATCATGTGTGAACAATTATTCCAAACACCAATAATGTGGTATAAAAATTAAAAGACAAACTACCATGGGCGTGATTGGATATGAGCTATAATCGATTTTAACCGGCTATGGTTGGTTATTTCATATCCAATGATCTAACTCAAAATTCAACTCAACTCAACTCTCCTACTTTTTTATCAATATAATTAAATAATACAAATCAATCATTCTCACACATCACATCAAACTTTAATTTACTATTCATCCACTGTCATAATTTTATCTACCTCACTTCCAATAGCCCTCTCATATTTTTACATATCATCAACTTTAATCATTACAGTGTAAATAATATTTAATTTCAAATTCAAAATCGTCCCCTCAATCTATTTTATTCAAAATAACTCACTTTAACCAAACAAAACAGGTCAAAACGGTTGGATCCATATCCAATCGTGCCCCGAGTTGTTTGTCAAACACTGAAACCAATATGTTAATAACTCCATTAACAAGAAAAAATCAAAATATTCATAACATAAAGTTTTACAAAATAAAATAATGAGCAAGTTAATTGATTATTTATTAAATATTATAAATATAAATCATGAAATTTTGTAACTTTAAAATAATATGCCTTGAATCAAAACTAATAAATAGATATAAGATAATACTTTGCTTTATTTATTTATATTAAAGACTCGTACGATGTGCGAGTTGTATATTTACTAAACAAAAAGATGAACATCTAATGACTAGGTTTTAGAATAGATTTCAAATCCACCAAAATAGAGAGCAAAGCATAATCTAATATCTAAAGTCAATTTCCTATATCCTAACACACATGATAAATCCTTTCCCCTAAACTCCATTTTAAAGTCAATTTCCTATATCCTAACACACGATAAATCCTTTCCCCTAAAATCCATTTTAAAGTCAATTTCCTATATCCAAACACACATGATAAATCCTTTAATAACTACATGAAATTATAGTTAGTTGTATTTTCTATTTAGCGATCAAAATAAATCCAATGAAGTTCAATGCAAACAAATCCGACTGTGAATTTGGAAAAATGCAAATATCAGAAACAATACCATGTCATTAACTACCTAGCTTCAAAAAATTTATCACAAAGCAGAAAATTCCATACCTCTGATCCCCTGTAACATTCGGACCTGTCCAGACACCATATAACGATGCAATAACCCTCTCCGCTCTTAAAACCGCATCATGGACGTTTGACTGTATGCTGAAAAGATGAGGAAGAACCTTGCCACTCAAAAGCTCATCAATGGCAATTTTTTCCAAGACGGGCATAGCAAGAATTTTATTCCATAGGCATATGTTCCTCAAGAGACGAACAGACACCCCAAACCTATAAGCCGCCACTCGTGCTGCATTAGGCACGGCTTTCATTTCAAGTGGGCTCCACGTGGGTACCTATTGATTGGAAACAAAAAAATTACAAATACTTTCGTATTGTATCCAGTTTAATTCAACAGAGAAGTATGGTGATAGCAAGTTTTGGGGACATTACAATTAAATCGGCCACTGCCTTAGTGAGACGATCACGAAGCACATTCACCAACTCCCCAAGGCCTGAGCTGGAGAGATCCACATATCCAATGACCAAGTTTATAGCAGAAACAGCAAATTTTGTTTCACGGGTACTAAGGATGTCCCAACAATAAGCTAACTGGTGGTGTAGAATAGGAATCGCAAGTTTTTCGACCAATTCAGGAATTATATTCGCATCAGCATCATCACCCGTGTCGGCTTCACTGCTTTTGTTTTCATCCTCTGGACGCCCATAATTGAATAGCAAAGAGTGCCTGGATAAATAGGAAATGACATGTTCAATAATATTACACATTTACACGTAATAGGGTGTTCAAATTGTTCAAAAAATAGTAGTATAGCTCACAGACAATCGAATGCTACTTACTTTTCCTGTTTTCCAACATTAGCTTCTTTAAGTAACAAAATCAAATTTCAGTTACAAGCATGTGGTTATCACTTATCAGAGGAAATACATTGCTGAAAGGCTAAATCTATTATAACAAAAAACATGAAGGAACAGCAAATATACATATAGAGAGTGTACGTCCAAGCTGCCCACAAAACCAAATAAGGAGGAAAGAAATGTTAATATAGCAAAAAATACCACGTCAATGAGTATAACCCATCTTACGTACCATTTCATATCTATAAAATCGGCATCCTCATGAAGTGGGTCCCACTTCAGAAGCTCCAACCTGACATAGGGCGAGAAAATGGCGGGCACGCTCAAGGACATATATGCTTCACGATAGCTCAAGGCATAGTCTTTCTTCCACCGGTCGAACCTTTCCACCACAATTGAAAATTGAGAAAACTCCTCAGCCGCATCACTGAAAATTTTCTCGGCAACCTCTAGCAGTTGACTGTGGGTCGACTCGTAAGCCGTGCTCTCGCTATCACTTTCGTCAGTGCTCAATTCCCCTTCCATTTGCTTAAAAGAACTATCTCTTTCCATGGCCAGCTTCCTCTTGGAATCGGCTTTTTCCCTCCGTTTTGTACGAGATTCCACCCTTCTTGAGATATCCATACGCTTTTGAAGATTTACATCTCGGCCAAACTCGTCAAGCTCAACTGGTGCATTTTTGGCAGTTATTGCATTGGCAGATGAGGCTTGAGAAGCAGCAATGGCTGCCGCCAATTTTTCCGGGTTGTCTCCTCCTTTTCGGAGTTCAGCCCGTGCAGCAATAATGGCTTGTTCGATTTCGGAAATCTCATCACTGTTGTCGGCCGCTCGTCTCTCAGTGATTGCTCTTGCACGTTCTTCATGCAGCTTCTGCATTTGTTCTTCAAGTTCCTCAATGAAAGGGGCTTTATGCTGCAAAAAAATAAAATGCCAAGGTTAATAAAGCAATCCCTTTTACTGTGCTCAAGATGATAAGGCACGACACATCACTACAAACATACAATAACAGATTATAGAAGGCGAAGCTGATGCGTAGACGGGTTGGGTTGCTACATTCTTGTGTTTAGGTCCTCACAAGAGATACCATATTTCTTCACATTTAGCAGCAGATAATGCTATATATGCAAGAATAGGTGTTTAGAGTTGACCGTGATGTATTAAACACAAAGGTAAAAGATGATCAATCAAATTCATTCACATCCATAGTTCCAATCAGTACTGTGTTTCGGATTCTTGTCCAAATTGCTGTGTTTGTCCCCTTCAAGAGCTTTCATGAAAAAGAAGGATGTTGCCGCAAAGGAACAGAGCATCACTTTACAAACCAAGATATCGATCTAAATCAGAATGCCACATATACACCCAGATCCAACAGAAGTAAGCCCAACAGAGAATCATTGTTCTTTAATAATTACGTTTGTTTCAGTCACTGTAGTTGAAATGGATTTACACTGCTGTGAACCAGCAAGCTATAAAATGCTACATCTCAATACACAAGTGAAACGATAGAATCGCTTTTCCACAAAAGCTCACCAAACATGCACTTTAAAGGACTACGTAAGTTATAAGGACAACAAAACTCATAAAATGGATAGTCCATACCTGCAAAAACTCACATATAACAGAAACAAACTCACGAAGCTTTTGCATAAAGAGGAACTTCTCACCGGCAGCGGACAACGAATTCTCTAAGGTAGTAATATTCAGCAACGAGGAAGTGAGGTTTTCTTCAGTCTTTGCCAGTGACATGATAGTTCGGCCATGAGATTCCTGAAAAACCAGAAGCAATCCACACTGTCAGTACTTCATACGATACAAATATACCAAAAATGCCAAACATATGTACGATTTTGAAACAGAAAAACTCGAGAAACAAGAAAACCAAGCAAAATCGCATACCCGAACCCTCTTCAAGTTTTCACTCAGAGCTTTCTTAGCAAGTTCTGCTTGTTGAGATATCGACATCACATCAGTATCAAACATGTCCACACCTGCCCCTCCAACAGTACTGTGACGACTTATACCATCCACATTTTTCACAGGAATATGCGTCATACTATTCCCTGCGCCCACGTAGCCCAAACTCGCTAGATTACCACTAACACCATTAACACTAACACCCACTCCTTGATTTCCAACACCATCATCCAGCCTCTTTCCCAGTCCTTTCCTCACTTGTTCTTCTTCCCACATTTTGTCCTCCTCGTCCTCTTCATCGCTAGCCACTTCAATTCCCCTCTCCTTTTGAACTGGCCTCTCCTCAAAATCATCAAAGACACCTTTCTTGTCATGGCCACCAACTTTCTCGCCAAAAAAGCCAATCCTTCCTCGGAATTCGGGCTCCTCATCACTCAAACCTTCAGCCTCACCATGATTGCTTCCTCCATCTAATGCTATGAAATCTGGAGCCGCAGCCTTGGCCTGCCTCAACCTCTCTCTCTTTGCCTTTATTGCCTCTATCATTGACTGGTCTGGCATTTCTTCATCATCCTCAAGCAAACCCGACCCTAATTTGATGCTCTTTGATAGGGATTGTGCATCATCTCGAACAGCAACGGAGCTTTTACGATTATCATCGATGTCCATCTTGTTCTCCCCCAAATCCGGAGTTTTTCCTGTAGCCCCATAATCTAAGCCGGTCGAGATTACAGGTTTTATCAAACCCTTCAAGACTACTACAGGCTCAGGCTCGGGTGGCTTGGGCTTATTGCGGGAGGGTGCACCTAGGGTCTTGGTGTTCTTCTGAAGCTCCAGAAGGGCCTCTTTAGTGTAGACTCCTGCCTGTGGCTGGACATTGGAAGGGACGGAAGAGATCGGCGGGTGCGGTGCACTTCGGTCCTTGGAGGATGTGAGCTTGTGCGCCGACGATGCCTTGGAGAGGCGAGAGGAGGACGACGCTGACGACTTGGACGGCGGCGGGCGGGAAAACGGCGACTCTTCGTCTTCGTCATCGGCGAAGGAGAGTAGGGTTTTCGTGGCGGGTCGAGGGGTGGGTTTTTTGGGCTTGGTGGGAGCGGAGGGCTTGTTCGTGGTTGAGGGGGTGCCGGAGATGCTGTTGTCCGGATCTTCGTCGTCATCGGCGCGGCGCCGGAAGTTGCGTGATTTGGCGCTGCTCATGGCGGCGGTGACGTAACGGTGGCGGGTCGAGGGTAGGTTTTCTTTTTCTTCGTGAATTTGGTACTTTCTTTTATTGGAGGCGGTTGGGCGGGCGGATATTTGCCGGGTCGGTTTGAATTCTCATGTATAGTGGAGCATGATGAATTGGGAGAAAATATAAATTATCTTTCGTTGGTAAAGATAATTTTGAAAAAGTTGTATGGTTTGTTAGTGAGATTTTGAATTTATATTAAAATAATATTTAAAATAAAATAATTAAAATTGATTTTATGTGAAAATAGGAGAAAGATAATGTGGAATGATGGTTAGTTAAAATTATGTGAGTAAATGAATATAAATTAAAGTTCATGTAATGTGTAATAATGATTTATTGATATTATTTAATTATATTAAAAATATTGAGGATAGTGGGGTTGGGTTAAAGTTGAGTTAAAAAAAATGAATTTTTTTAAAAAAATTGTATCCAATCATCCCCTTGACTATACAAATACAAAGAAGACATTACATAAATGACATAGGGGAGATAGGATGCCAAAAATTCTAATCTCTTTCAAATAGATAACCAACTGCAAGATTTTTTGAAAAAAAAAAAAATGTAAAAGATAATAATCTTAAATACGAAAACAATGAATCTTAAATAAGAAAGAGGAATTAAGTTCCGGTTGTGGTGGTTTTTTTTTTTTTTTTTTCTTCCTATTTTCTCTTGTTTTTGTGTTTTTCCGTTTTAGGTTTCAGACGTGGAAAGAGGTATTCTGTTCCGATCCTTAAGAGTTACATACCGGTTCGTGCGACCAAACATGTGTGAATCGAGTTCCCAGCTCGAGCAGAACCCGAGAGATGCTAGCCGAGAGCACGCGACTCGACCAGAGGTCATTAGAGAGCTGCCAGGACCTTAGCGCCGCTAAGCGTGGCTTAGCTAGCGGCGCTACACATGCTTAACGACCTCAAAAGCCAGTGAAATTGGATCTTAACGGAGCTAACAACAGCGTTTTTCACGGATTTTTTAATTGGAAGGCATAAGGATCGAGCCTAGGGCATATTTTGAACACTCCAGAGATTGTATTTTCGATTTTTCTTGAGCAAAAACATATTTCTCCCTTTAGTTTTCATTTTGGTTGATTTTGGAGGGTGAAAAACTCCTAATCTAACCTACGGATTTGGATTGCACTCGGATTTGACATTTGAATTTCACATTAATCGCAAGTTCTTTTTCTCATTTTGTTTATGATGATGATGGCTTGGTGTGATGTGATTGCAATCTAGCTGTATCCGGAGTCAAAATGTGGTGTTACAATTGTGATGAGTAGCTAAATTCGCTTGCTAAGGATAGGGGATGATTGTTTCGGTTCGTTTTTTATTACGTGTTCGTTAATTGTTCAATCTATGCGAGTTGTGTTAATTCTAGAGTTAGTTGATTGATCACCACTCTAACCTAGTTAATCGACTTTTAGAACCAAAAGAAGAGAAGTCAGTTGATTTAGGCTCGTCTAGGATAGGCTTGTTCGTGAATGTATTGCCTATGTGTTATTAGATTTGATAGTTGATCATTCACGTTTATTCTCTTGTCACGAAGAGTTACTGAGAATAAACCTATAGATAGATGAGTAAGCTTTTCAAGTCTTTTAACCGAGCAATTGATTGCCCGGTAATGGTATTAAGAACCGAAAATGATTATCCCCAACTCCTTAGCTCTTTTATCATTACGTGAATTTGTTTGGAATTGGAATTTCGTCTTGCCTTGTTTGAGAATCGTTAGTTTCTAGTTGAAACCAAAAAACCAATTGAATTAGAGTGTGTAGGATTTATTTTCCTTTTATATGACTGAATAATCGTACAATTTAGTTCGGCTAACCTTTCTTGAGATATGACTCGGGAATTGAATCCTTTGATTTAACTATGATAATAATAACTACAACACTTCATCATTGGCAGGGCGTTCACCACGAATCACGAAGTATCAAACTGGGACTTGGCAACAATATAGTAGAATTTCGTGTAATACGCGTTCAACGCATAAAAGATGTCAGTTTTATCATTAGAGGTCTTGTCGTTGGAAAAAACAATTACGATAGACTTCTTCTCATGAGCGTAGGAGAAGAAGCTGGAGTTTGAAGGTTAAAGTTAAACTCAAACACTTTTTGTGGAAGTGTTATTCTGGGATTGTATTTATCTGTTTGGAGATATAAGAGAGAGATGGACATTGCTGCCATATGCAAAGGATGTGGGAAAGGTGAAGAGACTATAGAGCACGTGTTCTTCAGTTGCAACAAAGCTCAGACGTTTTGGAAAATGGCCCCAGTTTGTTGGGATGAATTAAATTATGCATCAAGGAACTTTAAGGATTGGTTGTGGAGTGTCTACTCTTTGGACTGCACATGTATTTCTGAAGTGAGAATTCAGTTGACTACTTGTATACTGTAGTGTCTTTGGAAATCGAGTAATCTTTGGATGTTCAATAATGTGCAGAAGCCAAAAGTGGCTATTGTTAGTCAACTCTGCCATGTTGGAGTGGATGGAGTTTTTGAAAGTGTGTAGCAAGAGTTAGTTTGTAGGTAAAATAGAAAGTTAGGTTCAGTTGGTTCAGTGGTTTTCTATCCATGCACCTTTTTATTTGTTGCTTGGCTCTTTTGCTTTGGGATGTAGTCTAAAGGTTCCGTAACCCTTGTGCTTTGCCTTTAGCTATGTCTAATACTTGTTGGTAGTTGTTTGAGTTTAGACCACCTTCGTGTGTGGTTCTTTGACCTCTGTATTTGTTTTGTTTGTATGAGATAAATTGACCCTCCAATGTATACTTTTTATTTGTCCTAATAAAGTTTTTTCTATTGTTTCGAAAAAGAAAAACTCATCGAAATTAAATTCAAAAGTCTTTTTTTTTCTCTCTCCCTTAATTGACTATCAATTGAAATTGGGAAAATAATAAAACGGTGTATGCCACTTCACTAGTTCACTTCATTGGTAGTTTACCTAGTCAAATTATAATTAAGAACAGTGATGCTCTTTTCTGTTCGGACTAAAATAATGAAAATTGGAAAAGCTCAAGGGAACAGCAAAAACAGAGTAGTCGCAGTGGATAATAATTAATGGATTCCACTTTTTACAATAATCAAGGCAAGACTTTTCGAGTTTTGTCCGCATAAATTTGAATCACACTCTGCCGAAAAGACACAATTTTTCACTCGTGAAGCGTGTATCCTCTAAACAATTTCAATCCTCACCATGGCTGGGTAATCTTTAGATCCTTGTAACAGTTGCATCATTTAGATTCAATTTTTCTTTGTTATTTTTTTTTGGGTTTTTTCATATGACATTATATAGATGATAACAATTAACATTTTATCTTCTCTCATTATTTTGCTCTTAAAAAATAAAGTTGAAAGGTGAGCCATGTAATTGGTTTCATGTTCTAGGATTTATTTGCCAAAAAGTTTGATTCTTTTTTGGATGTATTTATTGGAATTTTTGACCTTTACTAGGGCTAGTCGAATCTTGATGTACTAACTTTAAAAAACTGAAAATGCGATAATGTTGAACTGTAGCTCATTTAGGGTTAGTGTTTTGAACTCAGTGGAGCTTATTTTTTTCAATGTTTGTGAGTGACCATTGTTGTGAGGTGATGTAAGATTTTGTTATTTTGTAGTTGTAGCTGATCTCTGTTTCTGGGTTTATGTTATCTGGAAATTTTGACGGTTTTGAAAGTAAACAAGTTTGAATGTGGCTTTTTGGTATTTATTTGATTATTTAGTTTGATCTTTTTATTGTTTGATTGGAAAGTAAGTAACTTCCTACTTCAGCTTGATGTTTTAGTTTAGTTGGTTTATTGACTTGCAATGGAGCTGTTTGGAGTGTAAAGATTTGTTTTTGTTGATTGCGAGTGTGTATAATATGTCCATTTTAAGGATATAGCTACAGTTAGTGTTACCTTGGCTGGAAAGTTAATTTGATATTCATTATACCTGAATCTTAAAACTTCAGATTACAGTGAATCACAAAGTGTTGAACTTTTTGGCTATTTGGCTTACTAAATTATGTCATTTGCTGTTCTGCCTTTACTATTTGTGAAAAAATGTGACAATTGAAAAGAAAAAAAAAGTTCAAAGTTTTTGTCTAAAGACCCCTAACAGTCATTAGCTTCATCAATAATGTTATATATCATATTTAGAACTAATTGATGATTTTCTGCAATTATAATCGGAACTAATATGGATGTTCCAAGATAGTTGAGTATCAGCAGTCTTTATCGATTGAGAAAAAAGGACGACACTCACTGATTGCAAGGTCATTGGAATATAGAGATTCATGTTTTGTTGGCCAATTTATTTACATTAATCTGTGGAGTGATTATCAGATTATTGATTTTTTGGAAGATTTCGAAAATATCTTAAGCATAAAGATCCCTTTAAGCTATGCCACTGTAATTTGACTTTTCTATTATTAATCATTGAGCCCGATACCTATACGAATTCTTAATATTTCTCGTTTTGTTACAGCTACCCATTTGTTTTGAAAACTCGTTGGTTATGCTTTAGGCTTGTTTTATGTTAGTTCGAACCTGCTTCTTTGGCTATTTATAAGTTATAACCATTACTTAATTTCTTTTGAGAACATGCAGGCCATCATGGCTTATCGATCCAAACCGAATAGCGACTAAAATTAGGAGTGCTTCGGCTGCATTAGACCCAGCAGAAGTCAACTGGAAAAGCAACCCCACGAAATCTTGTCCAAATTGCCAATATGTTATTGACAACAGCGATGTATGATTCTTTTCCTTTTTTGTTTTATTGTATTTTCTATTTTTTTTCCGATGCATTTGGGTCGATTTCCATAAATTATATTTTAAATTCTTGTAATTGTCCCACAATTAGTATAGTGATTAACCATTTTTTTTTTTCTTTTTCTTCCAGGTTGTCCACGCATGGCCTGGATTACCAAGGGGAGTGAAATTCGATCCTTCAGACCAAGAAATCATTTGGCATTTGCTCGCTAAAGTTGGTCTCGACAATTTTAAACCTCATCCTTTTATCAATGAATTCATCCCAACAGTCCAGGAAGATGATGGAATTTGCTACACTCATCCTCAAAATTTGCCAGGTCATTCATTCATCCTCCACATTTTATTTTATAACAAATCATACTTATTTTTTTTTTTTAAAAAAAAACAGGTGTGAGGCAAGATGGGAGCGTGTCACATTTTTTCCACCGAGCAATCAAAGCTTACAGCACTGGGACACGAAAACGCCGCAAAATACATGGTGACAATCTTGGGGATGTTCGCTGGCATAAAACGGGCCGAACAAAGCCCGTTTTACTTGACGGTGTGCAAAAGGGATGCAAGAAGATTATGGTTTTGTATGTGAGTCCAGTGAGAGGTGGAAAAGCTGAGAAAACAAATTGGGTCATGCATCAATATCACTTGGGCACAGGGGAAGATGAAAAAGAAGGGGAATTTGTGGTGTCCAAAGTGTTCTACCAGCAGCAGCAGCTTCAGGTTAAGCAGTTTGAGAAAATCGAGGAATTTGTTGCGGAAGGAATTGAGTGTGATGATACAGTTATGATGATGATTCCTAAGGTTGATCCTGTGACTCCTAAGCTCACAACTCCCGAGCCGCGTGTTGAGAGCAGATTTGTTGATTGTGAGCTTGTGCAAGTACAAGATTATTCTGGGCTTGTTGATGTAGAGGTAAAAATTTGATCTTTTTCTTTTTTGGTATATTTTTCGAGTAATTGTGGGGTGCTCGGTCAAATTACTATAAAAAAATGTGGTTAGATTGAAACGATGCCTTTGAAGTTTAGCCCTTTTTAAGTATTAAAGGTAGACCCCTGAAATTTTCATTTCCCTTACGAATACTCCCTTGCAGAAGGTATGATTTGTAACATAGAAAAACTATGAAGGGGTGCTTATAATTTTGAAAGATAGCAGTATTTTTCTGTAATGAGACTGAAATTCCAAGGATATTGTGTGTAATTTGTCCCTAAAAGGATTAAAGGACAATACTTTTGTGAATTTCCTGTAAAATGCAGAAAAGAAATGGTAAAAAGAGTAAGAAGCTAATAATGGCATTTAGCCAAAGCGTAAAAGTTCCTGTTATCTTCAGAAATTATATATATCACTTACAATATTAACTGGATATCTGCAATGCTTAGGACATCTGAGTTTATCTGGGTTTTTTATTGTAATCTGAATGAACCTCGATTTTTATCTTCTCTCTTGTAATTAACCCAAAAAAGCAAGTATTCGAGTATCTCTCCTAGAGAAGTTAAAAA